CTGGTCTCGAACTCCTGACCTTGAGCGATCCACCCGCCTCGGCCTCCCAGAGTGCTAGGATTACAGGCGTTAGCCACCGTGCCCGGCCACTTTTCCTTATTTCTGACAGTCATAGACTCTATCATATATTTAATATAGATGGCAATTGTCCCTTTAGGAAATGATCTCTCGATTCTTTGATGTTTTTCGTAAGCTACCATATTATCTAAAATCCATTTAAAATAAAAGAAGGTTACAGACACAGTATTGTAATATCAACACTAGAGCATAAGCCACCAGTGGCTAGATAATTCTTAGAGAGAAGGTGTAAACAGAAGGGAACCTCAAATTCTTCTTCATCACCTTTCGTTGTCTGTAAAAATATTTTCCTAACCACCGCCTTCCCCACAACAGTAAGCAAGCCATAATAAAGTACTGAAGAGCCAAACCCATTCCCTACGTAATCCTTGCGAATCACACACACTCTCCTTTCAAATGACAGGTAGACAACAGATATCATCACTCTATTTCTTTCTCCTTTCTTCCACAGGTGACCTACCTTACACAAGAGCAGAACCATGCAGACTATTTCATCCACGAAGACAACATAGAAATTGAAGTCTACTCTTTATTTTGTAAATCAGGAAACTGAAGTTCGGAGGAGTTTAAGTGGCTTCTGTAGGGTCATAAAGTAATAAAACATGGGCTTATAACCAAGGGTCCTAATTTGAAAAGAATTGGAAGGTTGGTAGCATCGATTCTGGCCACCTTCCCTAATTAATAATAGGCCTTCTTAACAAAATAAATGTGAAGTTGCAAATATAGTCTAGAACATTTCCATGTTATCATTCTTTTTTTAAATAATAAGTCAAAATGGGAGAGATATTTTAGCTCTGGGACAAACCAGTGTACTCTACAAATCATTAAAAAATACGAGTAAGATGCTAATCTTAATCCTTTCTCTAAAGTTAAGATTTGTATACATTTGGTTATGGAAGCTAGGTACTACAAAGGCATACCCAGGAAATATAAGGCCTTGTCTCTGCTTTCCCAGGATTTACAATCCTATTGTAGACAGAAGACATGCATAGTTGAAAGTTGGCACCAGCATCTTATAATAATGTCATGTCTGTGTCCACATGAGTGGGATGATGGGCTAAACCTAATAAATCCTACATGTGGTGCTATGTAAACAAAATACCCAAAGAGAATGAGTGAAACATCACTGAATAGCAGCATTTGTTAAAGAAAGGTCAGGATTTTAGTCTGTTCACATAGCAAATATTTAGGATGCCTACTCTGTACCAGGTGGAGTCCTAAATGTTTGGGAAATACAGGTGTGCAAGACAGATAGGATCTCTGCTCTCATGGGCTTTACCATGTAGTAAGAGAAGAGAGACAATAATCAAGCACACAAACATAAAAAGATCAGAAATGCTACGAAGAATATAAAGTCAGAGAAGTCCTCTTAGAGGGACTACCATTAGTGTGGAGAGCAGAAAGGAGCCAGCAATGAATGGGCAGAGCGTTCCAGGCAGAAGGAGCAACAAGCTTAGATGTGTGAGGATCAGAAAGGAGGCCACTCTGGCTGGAATGTCAGAAGCCTGGGGAGAGTAGAAAAATGACAAAGGGCCTGCAGCCAAGGTAAAGATTTTGGATAATAAATAGTTCAGGAGTGGTGGAAAAGTCACTGAAAAGTCATAAGTAGAGGAGGGGCAAAATCTGTTATCAGATTTAAAAAATTTATAGTTAGTTCAATGAATCAGCATGGAAATGTGGATATACCCCAAAGCCAAAGGATCTTTATCTTCATCCTTAACAAGAAGGGTGTTCAGAACATAGTAGGTGACAGACCCCATCTTCACGACTGATTCACCTGGACTATGTGATCAGAGCTGGGTGACGCTTTTAAGACACTCGCTGCATTCACAACACTAGAAAGTTGTGCTATTTAAGACAGCATACAAATTCATCATCGATTGTGTCAAAATCAAAAGTGCTGCCATAGAGCTAACTTAAGATTAATGTTCCACAATTATACAAGAAGAACGATGTTCGCAGCAAGCAACAGAGCATAGGGTGTGTTTATTTCTGACTTACCTACTCAAGGAAAGTGTGGCCATCTTTTACTTAACAGTAACATGGCAAAACTAATTCTAAGCATTAAAAATGCTACCTTAAACAAAAATTAGGAACATTAGATATAGACATTAGTCTCTCACGGCCATTTATTATATTCCTTAGATCTTTAATGTTAAAAAATGACAAATATGATACATACATATTTTCCTACATACTAAATCCCACAAAGGATAAGAGGATGACGTTTTTACTAAAATGTATACAGATTTAATTTTCTGTTTATTAGCTGGTTTGAAAATCTCAAAAAGATTTTACTCAAAACATCTGTAAAATGAAAAAGATTTTACTCGAATTTTACATACTAAGTATTCAGTATTTATTTGCCCCAAGCTACCAACACATCTTTACCATATGTTCGCAATTCAGGATGTTAATCTTACCCTAAGAATGCTGGTCAACTGGAAACTCTGCAGTTAGTCTCGATTTGAAAAATTCCTAAAGAGAAATCATAAACATATTGTTATATTTTACATATCACAGGACTGCAAGACAATTTATCCACTTATGCGGTTCTAAAATTTCCAACAGATACAATAATTTTAAGAAATATAAAAAAGGTAATTTAAAAAAATGAGTATTAAGAGATCACCTTCTGACTTCTCATAAAAATTGTTTTCTATTAATCAGGGAGATATAAACATATTGTTATATTTTACATATCACAGGACTGCAAGACAATTTATCCACTTATGTGGTTCTAAAATTTCCAACAGATACAATAATTTTAAGAAATATAAAAAAGGTAATTTAAAAAAATGAGTATTAAGAGATCACCTTCCGACTTCTCATAAAAATTGTTTTCTATTAATCAGGGAGATATAAAAACCACTGTCACAAATTATCGATTTAATCTCATCACAAAGGTAATCGACAAGGTACAAAATAGGAACATTCAACTTTTAATGGAGAATGAGATAAGCATTATATCTGAGGACCATGGATTTTATAAATAAAAGATAGAAAAACAAATTGAAAATATCTATGCTTCTTAAATTAAATAGCAGAAACATGAAAAAAGACTTAATATTTGGGACAGTTTTTGTTCTTTTTGCTAATCTGCTAGTTTTATACAATTATGCCACTGTAAAATTCATTGGCACAGTAGTGATACCCGCTTTTGCCTCTTTCATGGGCTTTCTTAATGTTGGTATGAAGTCTCTTTAAACATCATTTTTGATGGAAGCATAATAATTCATACATGGATATGTTCTACGTTATAAAATCATTTCCCTATGGAATCTTAGGTTTTCCTTTATTACTAGTAATGATGTAAACATCTCTGTACTCTGTTCATGTGGTAACTTTTTTTTTTTTTTTTGAGACAGAGTCTAGCTCTGTTGCCCAGACTAGAGTGCTGTGGCGTCAGCCTAGCTCACTCTTGCTCAGGCTGGTCTCGAACTCCTGAGCTCAAACAAGCCGCTTGCCTCGGCCTCCCAGAGTGCTAGGATTACAGGCGTGAGCCAGGTTAACTTTTACATACACTTCCAAAATGAGAGTATTAGGTCATAGAGTATGAACATTTTAGGGCCTCTGATATATAGCATCAAATTATTTCCCAAAAAGATTATACTAATTTTCTTTCCTGTAAACAATACATGAGTAGCACCTCATCAGATTTAGGAATCTTCATTTAAAAAAAAAACAGCAAAAAACTTTGCTAATTCCATACATGAAAAAATGATCTTGTTGCTTTATTTTGCATTTCTTTGAGTTGGGCTGACTTATTTCAGCATGTTATTAACAAGTTTCATTCATCTTTTCTATTTACATTTACTAAATTAGAGGAATACTTCGCTGAGAAGATATAAATGTAGAACTTAATGACAGCTCTCTCATAATGACAATTTGTCATCTTAGGGTAAAGCTGCTGCTGTCAAGTAAAAAGAAATAACAAAATGTAGCCGAGTTTCTTTATCCAGGCTAAAACCAAATCATTCAAACTAATTTTAGAAACTGTAGCGAAAGTTACCACTTTTCTTCCACCTCAGCAGAATACAGAAGCACCAAGTTGAAAGAATGAAATGTGAAAATACTAAATGGCAACAATTCTTAGAATAAAGAGTCCATATTAGGCAGAGTAAAAAGAGGACAAAGACTGTCACAGCAATTCTGACAGCCCCAGCTGCTGAGACAGGCGGCTGCGTCAGTGGTTCTCCAGCTTGCCATGCTAATGAGCATCACAAAACTAGCTATGCCCATGCCCTCAAAAACATTTTCTCTCCCAGTGGCAGGACACAAGACATGTGTATTTTAACTTGCATAATCAATTCCAAGATAACCTAAAAAAAGATATTCTGGAAGATTTGGAGGTAGCAAGCATAACACTGAGAAGCCCCTTCTTCCTCAAATAAGAGCTCCTTTCAGAAGGTTCCCTATGAGGGACATAGAAGGGAATACTCCCAAGTGACTAAGGATTAGAGAACAATAAGGCAACAATCAGCTTTCTGACAGAACAATATATAAAAGGCCCCAGTGCTTTTGCTTTGAAAATGGAGAGGTCTGGCTGCTTTTATTTCCTTCTGGTCAGTAGAGATAGTGCATTTGACAAAACAAACTCCTTTGTAGGAAAGCAAAGAACTACTACACAATTCTGGAGTCTGATAATGGTTTTCCATTTGGGTGCATTTGTCTTTTAGTGCTGTGGTCCCCAATCCCCAGGCCACAGCCCATTACTGGTCTGTGGCCTGTTAGGAGATGGGCCTCACATCACTGCCTGAGCTCTGCTCCCCCGCCGACCCACCCCACAACACCCCATCCCCCCATTTCCAGTCTGTGGAAAAATTGTCTTCCATGAAACCGGTCCCTGGTGCCAAAAAGGTTGGGGATGGCTGTTTTTAGTGATAGGTAAATAAAATCTTCAAAGGAAAGGTGTAGCAGGAAGTGAAGAATCTCTGGTCAAAGGACCTGGATTAGGTTAAAGGCACAGTCACGGGACATCACTTTGCAGCTATAGCAGGAATCGCTGCAATATCATACTCATTCACCCCGCCTTAGGCAATTGTAAAATTTAAGGCTTTAGGTTACAAAAAATTAAAGCCCCCCATTTCATCAATTTGAAAAGTTTAAAACTATGGAGAAGAGATGGATTTAAAAGAGGGACATTATACTTCATCATTTGTGCCACTCTGGGATCAAGTGGAATCACCTCCATGAGCTGCCTGAATGGCCACTGGCTGAGTTCACTGCCTCTTCATCTGTGTTCTTAGAACATACGTACTAATATTTCTCTTACACTGTTTTACAGTATGTGTTAAGCTATTGCCCCAAGTTCCTTGAGAGCCAGGGCAGTATCTTATTTATCTGTATCCCAGGGATCTATCATGGTGTCTCTGTCCAGGACTAGATTAAGGTTCTGGAGATTATGACAGCTGTTACATACTGATTCATCAATGGAGTGTTTAAAACATCTCTGGAAACTTAACCAGATTAAACTAAAGTAGTATCCATCAGAGCTTTTCTCAGGGTGAGTATTGAATGTGGTTGGAAGGGACGATCAGGACTCTGACTGCTATTTCCTCCTGGGCAATTGAGATTCTGGGAAAAAGGGGGACAGAGCGGGTTCTTTTGCTATGCTTTTCCCATACATTGGCTTCTCCTCTTAAAAATACGAACATTTAAAGACTAACAGTCTGAAGTGGCACCAAATCCACAGTGTGCCCAGAGTCCAGAGTAACAAATGCTGAGCCCCTCTAGGGTGCCCCCATTTCTCACTGCTGCCTCTGTTAGCACCACAAATATTTAGGAAATCATTGTTGAGTGAATGAATGATACCAGATCAGGTTTCACCACCCAGGTAGGAACCAGGGGTACAGAGGAGGAGGCCTGGCTCTTGAAAGGATCTGTAAACACAACTGGTGCACACACATGGTGGGTCTGGAGGAGTGGCAAAGCAAATGGTAGGAACAGAGCCTTAGGCATTTCCGTCACCCCATGGCAGGCACAGAGATTCAGAAGCAGAGGCTAAGCCTTTACCTCTTCAGGAAGGAAGCAGAAAAATTTATACTTGCCCACTTACCCACCAAACATGACATCTCACAAATCTGAATGGAGAACTGCTGTCAAATTCAGCATGACTGGCTGCATCAGAAGGACTGTGAGTCATTTTAAATCAGTGATAGCCCACTGGATAAATGCCACGGCATTCTAAAATGACCTTAATAGCTCATTGAATTATGATTTCACAATTATTCTTTTGCCCAAGTTATCCTTAGTATAATACGACAGGAATAATGCTGGGAACAATGGAATTATCAAGTCATCACTCAAGGATGTTGTGCATCATGCTGTTCTGTGTCCGCTTGCCCTGTCTGCTTTGCCCCAAGACCATGAACTCTGGAGGGCAAAGAGCCTTCTTTTCCCCCTAGGGCCTGTCACATATTAGGTACTTCATAAACACTGTAATTCCACAATTCTGTGAGCTATGATCGAGCTGACAATATTGCACGTCCTTGGATAGTTTCAGTCTCATAAAGCTAGTAACTTCTGATAGTGATGACTGTAAAGGATATTACATCTGCTACAACACATTCTTAACCCAGTGAAAAATCACATTGTCATGCATTGCGAATCAGCCTAGTGTTTCCACCTCAAGCTGATTTCTGACCCCCAAATAAAAAGGTTTAATGTTCAGTATTAAATGACTATTAAACACAAAAGATGTTTAAAATAAACACTGCTACCCTACTTGCCTCCAAAACAAGTAGTTGCCCCTTACTTCATGCTCCTTTAGCATTTAGGGAATATTGATAGTTCTATTCTACTTCCATTAAACTGCGTCACCCATATCTGGTTTGATGCCTTTCTGCCTCAGCTTTTGAACTCTTAGAAGACTTGAGTGTGCAGGAAAGGACCTGATACTCAACGGAGTCTCAGAAATCATTAGCTGAATGGAAAGGGCTGGTGGGAGACAGAAAGGGGAAGGCTAACACTTCCTGGGTACTTGGGGAGGTAGGTATTATTATCTCCACTCTAAAGGTGAGAAAGTTGACGATCAGGGAAACTAAGAAACTCGATGAAGCTCACATGCAAACCCAGCACTCACACCAGCTTTGACTAAGAGCCATATGCTGCACGGCCTCTCCGAAGAGCTATATAAAAAGGAGTGATATCTCTTCTTTTCAAAGCTACTATCTATCTTTTAGAAAAACTAAGACGACAATTTAAAAATGAGATCTGCATTGTTTTCCTACCTCATTATTCAGTATTCTACCTAGTGAAACAGAATCAACAAGTGCTTCCTCCACCCTGTCTGCTTATTTTTTTTATTTTTATTTTTTTTACTTTCTCTGCTTATTAAATAATTAAGATCGACATGATACCTAGACAGAGCAAGGATGCATCCTGCTTGCATCAGCTCTTATAGAGAAACATTAACCCATCAATTGAATAACAAGATGAATAACCCAGGTTTCATCTGTATTTAAATGGTAATGTTT